TATTGGAATATCTAAACAGAGAGTTTTAACCTAATATGGAAAGCAATGACCTCTAAAAGTAAACAAAGCAATACTTCAAGGTAAAAAACTAATATACAAAAGAAAATAAAAAACCTAATGATGACAATCAGAGTAGCAAGGAACATTTACCCACTAGTATATGAATCTCTGATTCCTTGGAGTTTGGACACAACTTAAAGCCTAGGTCCATTTAATGCTGCATTTAATTATTACTCCAAAGTAAGAATTTTCTCAATTTTAACTAAAGGGCCCCCATAGTTGGGTTTACTGATAAGAAAGTCAGAGCTGTATTCTGTTTGCAATATTTCACAACCTCAAAGCCACACAGTATAAATGTATCTCCTGTGACTTTCCTTTGCCAGTTCTTTATTATACATCAAATATTCCAGTTTTTCTCAGTTGATAAAAAACTATTTTTCCAACTAAAAAATATGCTGAAATATAAAACATATTTCCCTAAATATTGCAAACCATTTCCTCAAAATAGGACACAATTCACAAAGTACCATACACTTGTGACAAAAGGGTGCGTTATTGTCAAAATGAGAACGCTCATGTCAAAATTTGCACACTGATCAAAATTAGCACACTGCTCAGCAAAATGCAAAACACTTTTCTCTCACTGTGTTTCCACATTAAGTGTAAAATTGATGTCCCAAAAAATTAGCACAAATGCAGCTCACTGTTGAGTAAAAATCACCATTACAGTCCCTGACTGTACATTACCAAATTAGAAATAGTACACTTTTTGAAAACCATGTGCTTTGACTGAAAAGTTTATTCAAATAAGCAAAAAAAAGTGCATTATTTTTCCAACAGTGTGCAACAGCTTTAGAAGCAGTGTGTCTGGGCTATGAAATGTGTCCAATATTTCAATGAAACAGGAGAATGTGTGCAGTTAATGGAATTCAGTCTTATAAGTTAAGAACAAACATAAGGCCGTCATACATTTACAATTTTCAGTATTAGCAAAACAAGATCTTTCAGTCCTGTTTATCAGCACATGTAGAACAATATTGTTGTCAAAAGTAGCTGTATGAGCATCCAAAAGTGAGAAACTGGAACGTTATGCTATCGGAGATGACGTCACTGGAGCTGACGTTTAGAGGTAAATGGAAGGCAGCATCACTGTTCAGGAAGTGAAACCACAGAGCCGTATGTGTGTCTTAACATGGGAGTTAAAAAACAATAATAGAAAAAAAAGTATTTTATGTTCTACCATGAAAAAAAATCACATCAAGGCTACTAGACAATGCTGTGACTTAAACAAGACAAGGTTTGACTTGGTCAAAATGGAGTTTTCAGGAAAAAGAAAAAATGCAGGTGATGAAAAAAAGGGTCAACACTATAAAAAACACTACATTCATGATCTGTGCTGCTGCAGGTCTTTTTTTCAAGAAACTTATAGTGCAAGATGTCATCAACACAGAATTACAAGGAGGTATTTAATATAATTCAAGTGGTATGTGGACCATTAACCTGACTATAGGGGTCTTTTTGAGGTATAATGATCCTAAACATACAGATAAATTTACCCAAAAGTGTTTATCAGCTACAATCTCATCCTTCTTCAATGAACATAATGCACCTCTGAATTATATCCTATAAAAA